CGCTGCATTAGTTGGATACTGACGCTCGGAAATGAGATTTTAAGACAGCCTTCACTGTGAAACCAAACGTTTTATCGATTGCGATGATTTCTGTTTCTCGTTTCTGATTTCGTTAGCGCCTACAGTAAACAGATCATTGAAGATTGTATCTTATTCAATAGGAATTTATAGACTTACTTTATTGACGCGATTTTAAAAAGTTCGCGTTAATCTAATACATGTTAATCTACGTCGACGTCATTAAATCACACTATTTTACATCATTGATATTTTACAGCGTTTAATAACGTATTTATTTTAATAATAAAACTCATCTGGTCATAGGCGAGGCACTAGAAAAATCCAGGATCCAAGGGAGTTCGTTCTCTATATGCCTTTAAGAAGCAACAACATGATAACAATGAGCTAAAAATAACTGGAGATGCCGCTGTTTTTTTCCTTTAGATATATATATATTGATAGATATATATATAGATATATATATATATATTCCTTTAGATATATATATATATATTGAGAGCTCTACTAACTCTGAACAAAAGCCACTGGATGTTGAATTCTTTGTTTCAGGGACAATTCATGATAACGCATTAAAGCACTTGTTGAGGCACTGACAGTTTGAGGCTCATAGGTCATAGGTCGGAGGCACTAGAAAAATTCCGGATCCAAGGCAGTTCGTTCTCTATATGCATTTAAGAAGCAACTACATGATGAAAATGAGCTAAAACTAACTGGAGATGCCTCTTTTTTTTTCCTTTAGATATATATGCTGAGACGTTTGTATTGTTTGCAAATTCGCGTAAAACAGAGATAGGCGCACATTGTTTTCTCTTTAGATTTTTCGCGTTAATTTCATGTAAACCTAATTTTTCTTCGCGTTGTCAACGTCCATCGCATAATTGAGGTAGTTAAATAACAGCTTCGAGAAAATTAAGAGATGTAACTACAAAGAACCCCCATCATTAAAAATTTTAATCTTTTAACCCCGAAGAATGACAGGGATCTGATCTGCCCTGGCACGAAATGGTATGGCATTAATTGAATACCGACACTACTTGAAATGAAGAAAGTGTCCTCTGTGAAACCATAAGTCTCAGAAACTGAAATGATTTTTTTTTGTTGTTGCTGATTGGCGAAATGTAAACAAAACCCTGAGACTGGAGATTGGAGACTAATCGAAAGAGATGGAACGACAAAATAATCCAACAATCAAATATTCTGGCTAATTCTTTGATCCCTCAGAAAGACTGTCATCTACTCTGCGCTCATTATATCACTGCTGAATCACTCATTAGGCTGACACGAATAAAAGAAACGTTTTGCAAACTAGAAATGCTCTCGATTGTCCATAAAGTGCTATTTGTAAACACGATTGGAAATGTACAGAGAACAGTCTGGAGAATATTTATGCTAATTTTAGGTTTTAAGGGTATAAAAACCTGTCTGTGTGCTGGCCAAAACCTTTTGCGTAGCCAGCAGCTATTTTGATTAGTTAGTTCAAACCGCAAAATCTCGAATGATTTCACATATTGCGACTTTCGTGAGTGATCCTTCCCCTTCAACGGTTACAGACCATTTTAATTACTTGTCTAATTCCTCTATCGAATTTGCATTGCCCTCATTAAATTTTTGCCCCGATATGCGAAAGGTTACGCCAAAACTATTCATGCTCTGCTAACTCTGAACAAAAGCCATTGGATTTTGAAGACTTTGTTTCAGGCACAATATTGATAATGCATTAAAGCACGGATTATGCACTGACAGGTTAAATTGAATTGTGTAGCCTCATTTTGTCAGTTGAGAAATCAACGCCCGTTCTGTCACAAGCAACTTTGATCAAGAGACACCCCCGGTTTTGTATCTGGCAAGCAATTGAAGATGAACAAAATTTTGTTGTCTTTTCTGGTCATCTCAGTTGTTCTCGCTGTGTGCTGTGCACTGCGAGAACGACGAGAGGTGCGTCAGGATTCCAATCGTCAAAAGCGTTCTATCCGGGACATGGTTCGTCGTGAAGCAAGAAGGCAAGATCTGTCCCGCCGAGAATTTGCGCGTCGTGATCTTACACGCCGTGAATTATTTCGCCGCGATCTCAGCCGTCGAGATCTCACCCGCCAAGGTAACGAATGTTTTTCTATTTTTTTTTTTAATGATCGTGGAAGAACTCTCTAAAAGATCTGCCTTTGCGTTTGGCTTCGTGGCCATGTTGATAATAGCACCCAAGTATTATCTTAGAGGAGTGGGATCAAATTCCGTCGAAGCCTGAATATTTTTCAGGCTTCTTTTCTGCACTTTCTTGAATTGCAGCTTACCTGAAAAGATCACTGCTTAGTTGATCCTGGTTAAATTAACGTTGAGTAGTTCGGGCGTCTTATCTCGTTGTGGTAATACGCAGCTCTTGCAGACCAACTGTGGCTGATTTTGAAGTCACAAAAAGTTTTCTTAAAAGTGGCCCAATAGTTTGGAAAAAATCCCAACCCACTATTTCAAAAAATCTTCATACCATATTTCAGCCCGGCGTCTTGGAGCCAACGATTATCAAGCAGTATATGCTCAGTTCCACGAGGACGAAGAAGGATTTGCAGGTATAAAAACTGAACTAGAATCTCTTCGGCAGCTTAGTTTTAGGCTACCTCATCAACGGTCAGCCAGTTGATTCCTTTTGGAAACCAAGGACAAGGTTTCAAACAGATTTTGCCAAAATTAGTATGCATACATCATGTTAAATTTAAATAAATGCTTCGAATTTTTCATATCTCAAACGGTTGGAATGTCACTTAATTAATCTTGGACTCATAACCGAAAGAATTTTCGACTAAAAAATTTAAAAGACAGAGCTAGTAATAGGTGGTTTGCAACCAATCACTAGAGAAAAAGGTATGAACAATAGTGAAAGGAACAAATGCTGGTGGACAAACAAATGGAGCTAATGAGTGATCTATTGTTTACGTCCACCAACCTGGCGGCAATGACATGAGTGTCCGGAAAATTCTTTTTTCTGAACAAGTGCTTTTTAGTTTACCACTGCAAACAGTTTGTATTCGCTCTGCGTAAATTAATATAAATTGCTTCTTTTGTTCATGTTTTGCACGGGGGCATATTTACTTTCAAAGTTTACTTTATCGTGAAAGATTCTTAACGGCATATAGTCTAGAGACCAGTTATTATTTATTATCGCGGGGGTCGGGGGATCGGTGGGTAGGTGGTTTATTGTCGTCGCAGGGGGTCGGTTGGTCGGGGAGGTTTATTGTCGCAGAGGGTTGGGGGGGGTCGGTAGATTTAGGGGATCCCATGGTTTTCGTGGAGAACGGAGGGAAGGGGTTGGTTAAATCATCGCTAAAACAGTTTAAAGGGGGATTAAAGAAAATTGACTGCCAACAGGGAGGGGGATGGGGAGGGGGGGTGAGCGCTACCTGTGCATCATAACACTACTTTGGCATGGTTTTTTTTCTATTTCTGTCTGCTATTTAAACACAGAGGCGGACTGAGAACACTTTGCAAATGCATCTTTGCCAAATGCATCTGGGAAGCCTAGGTAAGGTATTTTTTATAATTACGAGGTTTTTACACTAGGAAAACTTGTTATCGATTACATTTAGAAAAACCTAGAGTGAGCACTAATTGTCCAAACTTGGAACGATTCTTTCTTACTGTGATGCAAAAACATTCAGCTCCTCAGAAAAATATATTTTGGAAGCGAAAGAACTTTAAGATTTGTGTGATTGGTCAAACCCTGCAAAATGGATCAGCCACTTTTTCACAAATCTAAAACAGGCTCTATATGGGTAAGAAGGCTCTCAGACTAACTGAACAAATGAGTAGCTTTATAAGGAATGCCTTAAACATCAGTCCTATGTTAAATCAATTTTGCTGACATCAAAAAGGTACTGATTAACTATGGTAGAATAGTTGTACACTTTCTGCTTTTTCTTGTAAAGCTTAGTTCGTTTCTTTTCTTTTTAACAAGTTTATTTGTATGTGTTTTTCAGGTGATTCTGCAGGGAACCAAGAAAGCGTCTTTTTATATGATCGTCGTAAATTGATTTATAGTTTGAATGTATGTTGTGTACACAATAAAAGCAGGCTTCCGATGTAATCTGTGGTTAGTTATTAAATGAAAGAATATCTGATAGCGAAAAACGATATTGCAATTTATTATATACATACCGAGATTTACATACTGAAAGGCGCGAAATAAATCCTCATTCACAAGTTGGTCGAAGAAGCCGAGAGCCAATCAAATGGCTCGTATTACTTTGTCACGTGTAAGGAAAACAATACGTCTAATCAGGAGCCGCGTATCATGTTTTTTCACCTTTGAAGCGGATCAAGGCAATTCTCCTTCAGCCTTCATTGGTAGCGCTTCGCATTTCAAACTGTTCGGGAAATGATTAAAATCCGCACTCGGCGCTGTTTAGTACGTCTAGTTATTTACAAGAGTGACTGAGGAAGTTTTGTGGAGGATTCAGTGGAATAGAAAGCATGCAGAACAGAAACTCAGAAGAGAAAACGATGATAAAAAAGAGCGGCGAGATTTAAAATTGTTCAAATAATTTTTGCAACGGAAAGAACGAGGATATTGATCATGTATCTTGATGAGTTTCTTCGCTCCGATCCGTGAAAAGACAGGGATGCCTATAAACCCTCAAGCTGGAAATGTTTTGTTTTAACATTAACTATGGTTTTAAGTATCGACAAGTATTTTGTTATTTTTCATTTGCTGTCGGCAGTGTTGCATCGTTTCTATCGGCAAGGCAATTTATATCGTTTACATCTTTCACGATCGATTTAGGAGAGTTTGACTTAATTATGTTGGAATAGAAATTGTCGTTAAACAAGAATTAAATCTTAGTATGTACAAATGAGAGTAATAATCCATGGAGAAAAAAGGAGAAAAGTGGAGGAATATATTTTTGGCGTGTTTTAAAAATGTTCCTTACATGTATGCTTTTCTTGGCCAATTATCGAAATCTGGTAATAGTAGGGGCAATCTATTTGAATCATGGGGAACTCCATACAAGCTTCATTTATCCCTGGGCTATTCAAATGAGATCCCCTAAAGTCCCTGAACCCCCGACTTATACATGAGCCCCTCCCTGGATCTTAGAATTTGCCAGATGACCTCTCTTATAAGTTTTGCTTTCGTTCTTATCCCGATTTAAGCCATCTTGGGTTCAGGGCCGACCGTTAAGAAATCGAAAAATCACCGTTTAACCATTAAATAAGGGGTTATCATTTTGAGCAGTATATTACTCTTCGAACAGTAATTAATCAGTGTGGCTCTTTACAGGACTCAGTAGCGAGCGTGAGAGTACGCTCGTAATATTTTTATTAGTTCTCCTATAGAAAAAGAAGAAGTTTGTCTAATTAGCATCTCTTTCAGTGTATCAGGGGACCTGGCTATCGACTGACATCGACGCTGATGATGACTTCCGTTAACCGCGTTGTCCAGTCAATTTTACCAAAAAGTGATTCTTTCTAGGATAACACTCAACCCGGCCGGACCAACACTCAATGTCTTAAAATAATTGAGAAGAATATTCTACCTTTCTATAACATCAAGAAATGGTTAGATATTCTAGTCGTCTCGGATAGGGACGAATAAATGGAGGTCCCGTCTCCTGCAGGGTTAGGGGTAGGAGACGTTAATTTCCCACGCACGAGATTACTGTGTGATGGATGTCCTTCCCTGGGGTCGGACGGGTGGGTTGGGTTTAGGTGGATGAACCTAGCAGGGGACTACGTGTCCTATTGTTCTTCCAACTGTACAATGTACAAATCTTTAGAAACCCGACAATCAGACGACATAATCAAAATGTATCTGGAAGAGATACCAACGAAATGTTTGTCGAATGTCTACGTCTGATTCCGTAATATGTACGCCTGTGCAATTATTATGATAGAAATACAAATGGAAAAAAAAAATGGAATACAAATTAGGCTAAAAGATTGATTCGCCACTTGTCAAAGGGAACTTGTTTTATTGGCCGCGAAGTTTTTTCTTACATCGATGTAATGCGAGGAGAGCCGTAATCGTTTATAGTAAATTCCTGTTGGGAGCGGAACAGGTTCCTGTCAATCTTAGCCATCAGTACTTGAAAGTTAATCACAAATATGTCATTTGCTGACCAATCGCTTGCTCAATAGAAGAAATCAAAAGTAAGTGATATATCCAAGACGCCAAAGTAAACTTTGGTTTGAAATAAAATCACTCTTTAAACACAGCTGCCGGCAGAAATGTAACCCGCATTGGAAATGGAGGGAGATTTTTTTGAAATTTTCAGGAACAAAATGCTGCGAGCTGTTATGGTTTTAGTGTGAAGATCTTATGCGTCTCCATGCATCACTAAAAAAGGGATTTTAGTGTATTTTATAATGGAATTTCACTATACCGTTCACGTTTTGTTGTTGTCTTCGATGTTTTGTCTTTATGCAGGGGTAAGTCAAACAGACCTTACCACGACATTGTTGCTGTTCCGAAAACTGATTAAACGAGCTGAATAACTACATATTTTCATTCCTGAATTTTGTTCTTTACTTCAGAATTATACCGCTGCGTTATCTTTCAATGGCAAAGGTAGGGATAAAAATCAGCAAACGAATTAACGACCCATTAAAAAAAGGAAAAGTACGTAAAGGCAAAATAACCTCTTTCAATTTTGCTCGAAAATGATTTAACTACTGTGGAATTATACCCTAGCGACGAGCTTTAGTCTTAAAGATCATTAATTTTCCAAGACGTCTCACCTCATCTTAATTTTCCACTAGAAATATGGTGTTAAGCATTTAGGAAAATTCTCCCCCTTTCTTGAGCAAACGAATTCATTTACTTAATATTTGATCATGACAATGTCATGAGCAAAGCTCATTATCTAATTCTTTTCTTTTTACATCTGACGTACCGTATTTTAGAAATATTCTTTTTTTCGCCTAAACTTGAAAATAAGCAAAGACGAGTTCATATACCTTATTTATTCATATTTTTATTCATCTTTAAGAAAATAATTCAAACAAATATTAAAATATTATTTTGCTCTGTTCATTATGGGAAACCTACATCTTGCCCAGCTGACGTATCACTGCTGACAAGTTCAGCCCAGTGAATTTTGATTTCTCTTAAAAAGTGGTTTCACCTCCGTCGTTTGGCTGTTTGGTTGGGTTTAATTTTATCTTTGAAATTAAAGATCACTTTCACGTCCAGTTCATTAGTTTTGTTTGCCAAATTTTTTATCAAAATGATATATCGAGTCATGTTTCTTAATCCTCCCTTCTTTTGTCATGGTAAAATTAATAACTAACAGATGATCTAATTCGTAGAGTGTCGACTTAGCTCAAAACATGTTCTTTCAGAGAAGAATTACAGTCACTAAAAGCATTTTAAAGCTCTTCATAGCCCCTTAGTTACGCTTGTCAGTTCTGGTCATTTAGTTCACAAGCCCGTTAAAATGAATTTAAGAAGGTTGCAGTGTAAAGTGATATGTTTTCCATGTGTGTTCAAGATAAGATACAGTCGTTTTCAGTTCCCAAGTTTTGAAAATATAGCGCTTGTTGCATTTAGCTTATATACAGACAGAACTCGATTTATCTAAAAAAGCCTCGTTTTTCTTCCCGCCTCGTTCCGAATCGCACAAGTCAGTCATTTTTCTACTTTTTATTAATTTTTTATCACCATAACAAGCTGAAAAGAGATCGGCTTTCCTTTATTGGAGGCATATTCATGGTGAGTCTCTTCGAAATGCTCTCTTTCAAACATTTGGCCAATATCATATGTTTTTATTTGAACAACTTGCATAGTTTTGTGTCATTGAGGTTTAACTAAGTCATTATAAAACAAACTTTATTGAAACGAACAAAGAACTATACATATAATCACATCTATAGGGAACAGAAAGTGACTTGTATACAAGATTCCTGTTGGTGAGAAACCATGACATTTTGGAAATATCTACGTTGTATATCTATAGGTTACAGTTTGAATTTTTATATTTTAGCTTTCTTCTTCATAATGTCCCGTATAACTGCGCAAATCGCGGATTAACTTTCATATAATACTTGCATCGATGAATGTATTCGAACTGTTATTCACACGTATAAGAGAAAAATACGTGTCCTCATTCTAAAATTTTCTCTTTTAACCTTTTCACCCTTACGATCTCATTATCGATTCTCCTAACTGTCTGCCGTATACAGACAGTTAGGAGAACCGGACTTTTTTCTCTGGTCCCAATTTTTTTCATGAATAGTTGTGATCTTGAAAACTCAGAGTTGCAAAAAGCCCAATAATCCTTTCAAAAGACTGTTGAAACAGCATATTATCCTGTGCGCTTTTCAAAATTCGCAAGTGCGACGAGACAAAGAAATATTCTGATGCGTTATTTGTAAATACATACAGGCTGTGTAGATATCACAATGAAACTGATGTTTTCTTTACAGTATACCTTCTGTTTACATTTCCATCTCATTAATATTCATATTTTCGATTATCCGGACTATTTACCGAGGTCCCGACGAGTCCGGATAATCGAGGTTCGACTGTAATTCTTATGAAAATAGTTTGGAGAATTTGGTATTGGATCGAGTTACAATTCCCTAATTATTCTTTGTCTTTATTCACATCACTTTTTGGTTTGATGCTGTATTGCTATTGCGTGGAGAAATACTGTCTTGGTCACTCACGGGAATTAAAGGGTTAAAAAATCTTCCCGGCTCTTTTTCCTCAAACGTCTTACTTTTTTTTTTCTCTTGGTTTTATTTTGTCTCATTGTTTTTAGACCCTTGTGACAGTGGCTGGCTAAATTACCAGACCATATGCATCAAATATTTCCCAGAGAGCAATACTTGGAGTAAAGCTAGACAAACATGCCGTGGCTATGATGCAGATCTGCTGACCATACACGATGGAATAAAACAGAAGTTTGTTTACAACAATTTTGCTCAGGGAAAAACTCTCTGGATCGGCCTACTGAGAAATGAGGAGTATGTTATTTGAGTATAACATTTATTGTATATTCACAATTTAAATTCAATTGAAAGGTGAAAAGGAGACAAAAGAGGTAATCCCTTTCAAGTTTGTCTCTTAAAATAATTAAGGACGCAAATTTACCTCTAAATAAAATTCACAATAAAACAGTTAAAGAATTTCCTAAAACATTAGTAAAATGGTATCTGGATCTGTTCTTGTAAATTTTCAGCGTTTCTGCCTCTGCTACGTCTTTAGGTAAATTATTCCATTCATTAACTATATTTAATGATTAAACTTATCATCATGGTAATGGTAATGATGTTGATGATGATAACATAGAACATTTCAATTGAGTCTCGTAAAACCAAAACTGGAGAAATCACAACAGCCAATCAGAGAAAAGAAGATATCGCAAGGAGCCTATGGGAATGCAAAGTGAATTAAAAAAAAAAAAATTCGTGGGAAAACACGAGTGACCAACTCGCGATTGGTTTAAGTTTTGAATCTAATCGGTGGAAAGGATAGCACGAGGTTCCTGGACCAATCTCTTGGCCAAGGAAAGCAAAACTAATGGAAAGTAAACTAATGCAAAGTAGGGATCGATATTTTCGACTCTTAATTGGAAATCACCAGTAATGATAATAACACGCAATTGAAAAATGCCCTAATGATAATAACAGCAATTATTCACCCAAGAGGAGGTAGATAAAGGTAGATATGTGCAGTACCTCTGCACATGCATGATATTTGTGCATCGCATGAGGAATACTTCGCCAATGGGCCGACACTTTGTCTCAAATTAAAATACCTTACGGGGATTGCTTCTGGAATTTGTTATAGCTTAGGGAGTCAGTGTTATCGCCTCATTGAATTTCTCGTGAGTGAACTGATTGATGGGTTCCTTCTGAAACAGAATAGCTAATGATTGCAAGGGAAAATTTTAAAGGGTACATCTAATTTTACAGCTTTTCCATTATTATTTGTCGCTACAGTTCCACTTCCATCATAGCATTTGTCTGATCATTTATTTAGTCATTTCTTAATATCCTACCTTTTTTTTAATCTTATCTTTAAGTGACGTGTTCCGCTGGGTTGATGGTACAGAGCTAAAATTCGCAAACTGGGTCACTAACGCCCCTAACAATGTGAATGAGAAGTGTGGAGAAATGACAAGTTATGGCAGTTTTTACGGAAGATGGAATGACAAGTCGTGCAGCCAACCGCAACCATTTATTTGCCAGAAAGGTTGAGAATTTGTTAATAACAACTCATTTGCAATTTCTTTAAATCAAGAGCGGAAAGTGAAAAAGGGAATTCTTTATTGTATTGTTTCATGTTTAACTCCGGATATTTGGCCAATTATCGCATTTTCCGATACTTGGGGATGAACACGTATCAATGCCTTAAGATCTGATTGGATAGTCGCGTGAAAAACGCGAGTGTCTGAGAGTGAAAGTATTTATTTAGTTCAGTTCGCTTATGATCAGATTCGAGTTACGCATTTTTTTTCCTTTTGATGAGAGCATCGTATACCTAATTTAAAGCGCTATTCTCTTGTTTAAAGTTAACGTGATTTTGTTTTGCAGAAGCAAAGCACAACAACATCTTCAGACGGTTTCCGGGAAAACAACTTCTTGGCTACGTGATAAGCCGTTCCCGTGTAAGGAGTGACGTTGAATGCGTGCTGCGCTGTCAAAGGCATCCCGCATGTACATCGATAAACTATATTCGCAGTAATTCAGGGCTCGAAGAGCAAAGAACGAAAACCTGCGAATTGAATCAACAAGTAAATGGAGTTCTGTCGGAAATCCTTCATATACAGGAACAATCTTGCTACTTTATGGTTGTCTAAAAAGTTTTATAAAGATACAGAAACATAGACGATAATGCTAACAACAACAACAACAACTGCTATCGAATTTCACGTCATAATCTTGAAAGCAAGAGAGAGTATACAACAATCAAAATAAATCTAGAATGAAAACAACCTAAGGGAGAGATACAAGTAGACTTACTGCTTAACCCAAATCATGAAGAGAATCGAAGCTCAGCATCCTCACATAGCCTGCTCCAGACGATCAATATTAGCAAAACGAATTCACAATGGTAAACAACGCGATTGTGGTGTAGTGAAAAAACGAGGAAGGATTGTGTCTGGTCGCGTAATGAACGCGTTCTGCACGCGACCTGACTTAGGCCCTCCCTCGTTTTTCGCACTTGTAATATTATTGCACACGGATTTTGCACCGTTTTACTCGCTGAATGCCCGGAAGAAGTTATATCTTACGATGAAGTTTTTATGTGACGAACGAACTGATATATTTGTTATATGCGTGTACATGCCGTGCGGACAGTCGATAACTAAAAAAATAAATAAGTGTAAATATAGGCTCGGCTTAAGAGGCCATCGCTGTCACGGTTTCCTCCTGGCTTACGTGGATAGCTATGAACTTATTCATGGTACATAGAGTGATATGGGCTTTGTATACTGCGAAATAGTATGACATAATCAATAAATATAACGGTTTGAAATTAGTTCCTATCACCGTTGTGAGGAGGAAACTGGATACCTTTTTTCTAAATTTTCTACAAGTTTCAAAAGCGTTATTATGCTCGGGATAGTCATTCTGACCCAGCGCGATTCTAAAAATTTAGAATACTTTTTCTTCTAGAACTCTAAAATCTGAATTGGAAGATTTCAAGAAAAATTGAATGATAATATATTTATATATATTTTTGGCTGTTTTATTTGAAAATGGACTCTGACCATAGGAGGGGCTATTCAAAGATGTTACGAAGATTCCCGGAGGCATTCTGATCCCGAAGAGTTCCGATGAGGTAAAACAATGCTAACCTGGGGTGGATGTGAGTTAACTTGGTAGAACGTGATTAACTTAGAGTAGATGGGGACGAACGTGTTAGTGCAAGGCTAGGTTAACTTAGGGTAAATTTGGGCCAACTAAGTAAAACGATGCTAACTGAAACTAGGGTAGATGTGGGCTAACGTAGGAAAACGTGATAACTTAGGGGAGATGAGGGTAAACATGGTAAAAAGTGCTTAACTTAGGGTAGATGAGGGTAGACGTGTCAGAATAGGCAGATCTGGGCCAGCAAGACGGATTCAGAAATGAGGCTGACTAAGAGTCGATGTGAGTAACCATAGCTGAACGTGTTTAACTCAGGGTAGATAAGGTAGAACATGCCGGGCTAAGTTGGGGTAAATGTGGGTGAACGTGTTTAAACGAGGCTAAATATGGGATATCCAGGATAGATATGGATTAACGTGGCAGAATAAGGCTAAGTTAGGGTAGATGGGGGTGAACAAAGTTTACTGGGACATATCATTAACCATATATGAATTTTATAATACCGTACGGCATGCTTCCGGCATGGGACGCCTTACGGACCAAACGTTTAGGCCTAACGGGGATGATCGAAAACCTTGCTTGAAAGTTAACAATAATAACAATAAAAAAAATTGCCGTCTGGAAAAAAAGGATATGAACCCTTCGATGCTGACTCACGGATAGCTGGAGCGTTTGCTTTTTCATTTACACGGACAATTTCACGTTATTATCGTTCAGAGCTAAGCGCCTCAAAGGCTCTATGGTTGCGAATCGCCATGTTTATTGCCCCAACATTGTGTGGAAGTATCGGTTATTCCTAATAGAAATATCTTGTTTCTGCTCCAATAAAGAGGCGAAAACTGGAAAGTGTCTACAACTAGTGCATCCATCAGAGGATCGCTGATTCTGGTTCTCTGTGGCTGCATGTTACCATCAGTTTTAATTCCATTGTTTCATTTTAAGCGATACTCAAGTGTACCTCAGCCTCTGTTTACTTCTTTTCTTAAATTCTGTTATTCTCGGAGGTACGGCCGATCGGAGATGCCTGTCATTGGACTTGGAATACTTTACGCAGTAGGTGGGTATGGACTGGCCGGCTCGGTTTACAACGACGAGTTATAATTAGGTGACAGGAGAAATGATCCTGGCCGACTTGAGTGAGGAGAATAAGTAGGTTGTAAAGAACTGCAGGTCGTACAGAACAGCCACTTATCCATCGAAGGCTACTGGTAAAAAGAATCAAAGATCAGTACGAATTATTTTAAAGATCAGTACTGTTCTTTAATAACTATATTATTTTTCTCTCAGGATTAATAATTAATGCAGATATAGGTTGTGAAGAACTGTACTCGTCAATGTTTAATCTATCCAAAACCGCTGATGAACCGAATTTAATTTGTCCTTACGATTATATGTCACTTAAGATACACGATCATAGGTAGACGTTTGATGAATCAAAGATAACTAGGAATTCTCTTCACTCAGGGTTCAAGGAATCATGCAGATGGAGGTTCTACAGATCCTTGCATTTCCTTAATCTCGAAGACCTCTGATGAAAAGCTTTTGTTCTTGTGATTTCGTGTCGCTAAAGACACAACTAGACGTTCGATTTAAGGATCAAAGATCATTTGGAATTCCTCTTTTTGTGGAATCTAGATGTAAACCGAAATAGGTTGTACAGAACTGTGCACTGACGTCCTTCATTTATCCATTGAAGAACGCCAATGAGCCGAGTTCGTCCTTTCACTTTCTTGTCACTAAAGATACAAGTTAATAGAAGTTAGAAGGCAGAACTTTTCTTGAGTGATCAAAGAGGGCGACGAAACAAACTTGCTCTTAAATTAAAACTGAGAACACACAAACATTGTCTCTCACTTGAGCCTTTGAATACTTTTTAAGAATTCCTGTGAAAGCAGCCTATGTCCGAGCAACACATTATGTCAAGCTGTGTTCACTAATGAAGGGTATCGATGCGTTTGCATTCACGGACTGGAACATGGGGCCAACTGCGATCAAGGTAAATCTTGGGTGGAGCTTTATTCACTCTAAATACAAAGAACAAAATTTTTTAATAAAACCGACAAAGAAACAGACAGACTGTGACAATTTAAGGTTAGAGCCTAAGCCTGGTACTTTTAACTTTAACATAGATGGTCGGAGACATCAAAAGGTGAAGAAAACTAAGATTGAATCACTTACTCGCTGTTTATTTCGTGATATCAAAATGAATATGTAGCCTTCATACAAGCAGTACAATGACATCTTAAGTTTATAATTGCATGTACATGTAGTTAATTACCAGTAATTCCAGACAAGTTCTTTTGAACTGCATGTTGTTATTTTGTGTGGTTGTGATACGCTTTCTAAGCTTCAATAACATTTAAGACTATAAATTTTTCAGGTTCTTCTGCAGTGTCCGCTATGTCGTCATCGTCATCATCATCATCATCATCGTCAACGTCATTGTCATCGTCATCGTCATCGTCATCGTCATTGTCATTGTCATTGTCATTGTCATCGTCATCGTCATTGTCGTCGTCATCGTCATCGTCATCGTCACCGTCATCATCATTACCGCCATCATCATATTCATTAGTGTCCTCGTCTTCGTCAACGCCTTCACTGCCGTCACCAACGTCTACGTCGACATTTCTGTCCTCCTCATCATCGCCATCCCCGTTTATACCATCTCCCGTCATCACCTCGTGGTCGTCGCCATCGCCGACGTCACCGTCCTCATCGGCAGGAATATTGCCTGATTCCACTCCACCAGGTTTAGTTTATAACTTAGATGCATTTCAAACGAATGAAAGAGTTCCACACTCAAATATTGGCCAAATGGAAGCTGCTCGAATATGAGTAAAACGGGGAATGAAGACAAATACTATGTACGGGGGAGCAGGGTTGGCGCAGTGGTGAGAGCGCTCCCCCTTCCACCGATGTGTCCCGGGTTCGATTCCCGGATCCGGCGTCATAAGTGGATTGAGTTTGTTTCTTCTATACTCTGCTCCGAGAGGTTTTTCTCCGGGTACCCCGGTTTTCCCCTCTCCTCAAAAACCATCATCATTTGAATTTATTTAATTTAGAGTTTATTTGGATTTACACACGACCCCACAAGCTGTTCAGCTTTAAACATTATCGTGTCTAAATAAAGGTGTTATTATTATTATCATTATTATTACGACAGAGGAAGTTTTTATTGGTAAAATGCTCTAGAGGCGTAATGGTGGAATAAGAAACGGCCGTTAAAACGATCTCAGTGAATATTCAACTTAATTCTAATATCCTTTGAAAGTATCAAAATGTGATTTAAAATGTCTGCATTGAAATTTGGCCAGATATGAGCCACATAAATGCGAAACTAAGTAAATGATAGTATAATGATATAGTCTTTATTTCAGTTCAAAGGATAAAAACACATATCCTATGTTGCAATCATATATAAAACTAAATTAAACCGTACATGTTTCGTTTAGTAAATAGGCGTTGCCTTTGATGACAGTTATAATTTAATTAACACAACTCGTGACTGACATTAATTCCTTACAATGATTTATAAATGTTAGCTTGTCGTGTTTTAAACCAGTTTTTACAGAAGAATCAGTAAGAGAGAGACGTCGGTTTTTATATCTGTTCGCTTACCCGAATCTGCTAACCTGAAGTGAGAAACCTGTTTTTACGACCCGTCACAGAAGTAAGTTTCCAATCGTTTTTCTTTAATTTTGCTACGAGACTAAGACTTAATTTGTGTTTACTGATTTCCACTTACAAATGTATTTCTCTTAGATCGAATAATTATTAAAGCTTGGAATATTATATGGTTCGTGGCAGTCATTAAGCGGAAAGGCGAGCTGCAGCACGAAACAGTGCATAAAAGTAAACATACTTACTAACTGGATTTGAACCGTTGGGTGTTAACTTTGGGGCGAAAGCACCCTTTCCTACGTAGATTGTATGTAGTATTTTTCTCAGTGAGATCACCTTATCAAAAACTTTTCTGTCTTGTTTCTCRAAAAATGCTTGAAATAATGAAGTGACAGGAACCATATCACCGCTAGTAACATTTATCTTAGAAGCGCTGGACTTGTTTAAGGTCATATTCAGAGGCCAGGAAGGCTATATGTCAAAATAAAACAAGAAATTACAATGAAACAAAGTTGATCACTGTACGGTTCTCCACGGTCAAAGAGTTTTACTGATAATCTTTTTGATCTATTAAAGGATTGATTGATTGATCGACCGATTGACTCATTTGAATCCTTGTCCAAAACTGTGTCCATTGAGTAGATCTGTTTCTAATTAAGGGATTCGTCTATTAGGAAAATGATTTACAACTCACATACTCGATGATATTGATAAAGTACATAAGAACGAGTGGAGAGCAGCATATTAATTTTGATTGTAATATTTTAATACTATATTTTTCCTTTTCAAGCGTGTCCGCAAGGTTGGTATTCTTTTCAAAGCTCGTGCTATCGCCTCACCACAGATGTAAAGAAGTGGAGTAGCGCAGTATTGAAATGTCTCAGCAGTGATGCACAGTTGGTGAAAATTGATTCTTGTGAAGAAAATAAATTTATCAAGGCGACATTTCTTGCTGACGAACTGCATTACTGGATTGGATTAACGGATTGGATTAACGGATGGAGAGACTGAGGGAGAATGGAAGTGGTCTGATGGAAGTTTACTCATGGAATTTGAAGGGTGGATAGAAGACCAGCCAAGTGATACAGTCCACTTGCAGAACTGCGCTGGAATAAGAAAGAGGAAGAAGGGATGGAATTACGAAATAGGATGGCACGACAAAGAGTGCGATCGACTTAAAGGGTACATATGCGAAAAGTAGAAATAGAAGTTCGTTTTCCTAAATTTTTTGAACATTTAGTTGTCCAATTTATTTTTTCATCTAATCTATTTGCTCTTTATTGCTATTGATGCGAGAGCTGGTATCATTTTTCAGAATGGGATGGGATGGGATAAGGAATTATGATGCTGAGTGGCACGATAATGATTGTGGAGAAACTAGAGGCTAAATCTGCGAAAAGTGCATGCATACATACATACATACATAAAACTTTTTTTCATCTCGAACTAAGAGTAGCCAAAGGTAGGCTAGTATTTGCGAGGAAAAAAGAAAAAGAAAACAGAAAATAATTTTTTTCAATCCTAGAATCAAATAAATTACTATTTACATTAACTAGAAATGGTAGAAGAATATTATCATTATTATTATTAGCTCATCATATAATAAAATTATGTGACGAATTGCTGAAATGAAATTATTTAAAGACGAAATAGCTCTCAAGTTATCCGGTAGAGCATTCCAATACCTAGCAGCTGTATAACTGAAAGAGTTTATGCCCTAAGTAGCAGTAACAGGTCTAAAAGGAGTAACAATATTGGTTCCTCTCATAGAATGGTCAACGGATCTCAGAGTAAACAATTATTTCAGGTACTGTGGGTAATGTTCAGAATTAAGACATTTAAAAATGACTATAAGCATATTCTGTATCCGCTTATTGCTAAGAGTACAGTCTCCTATTTGTTGCAAGAGGTCAATGTATGATGAAGCTAAGAATACGTTTGTTCAGTGTTTCTAACTTCTTATTTCTAGCGTCGCAAAAACGCCATAATCATAGTGGAACAATACATAAACTGCGGCATTATAAACGCTTAGTAGGAACTTAATAATACAGTAGCTGGTATGAGCTTACGGAATATGCTTATAACATTAATTTGATTAGTTATTTTTTATATATGTTAGAGATGTTTTCATCGATCAAAGCAAAGTCTGTCATCCACAGTAATTCCAAACAATCAATTGATTTTCGTACTGGAAAAGAGAATACATGATCCGAGTTTCCTATTATCATGGCTTGGTGTTTGGCGAGATTGACAAGCATACCGTTGCTTTTATACCATTCGTTTGCAATATTAACTTGATGCATTAGCCGCTTGTCTAGTAATTTAGGGTCTTTATCCGAGTCATATAATTCTTGATCGTCCGCATACGCATCAAGCTTCACTTCCGTAATATGATAAAATAAGTCAGTGATAAAAATGTTAAAAAAAAGGGGGCCCAAGTACACTTCCCTTAGGTACACCTCTCGAGACCAAGCCCACTCAGATGTTACGTCTCCAATTTTGACTTTCTGCAATCTTCCAGAGAGATAGTCCTCGAAGAGCGCACAAGCATTGTCACTCAGGCCATACGCTTTTAGTTTGGCTAAAAGAAGAGCATGTGGTATCGTATCAAACGCCTTCGATAATTCCATCGAGACAAACCCAACGGGTTCTTTTTTGTCTCTACTCCTTTTCCAGTCGTCTGTTAGTCTAAGAAGCGACGTCTGACAACTGTGAAATTTTCTGTTGGCGGAGAGAAACTTTGATAAAAGCCCACTGAAGAATTCTTCGAACTGAGAAGTCAGCAGCTTTTAAAATATATTATTCAGAGAAGGACGTACTGTTACTGGGCTATAATTCTCCTTTGAAAGTTCATCATTCTATTTAAAGAGACATTATTTGTCCCATCTTCCATCGTCTGGGATATTTGCATTGAAGAATGGATGCATTTATGATATGTGCAATTGGAGCGGATATAACTTTTGCCGAGTCCATACGAAAACGTGGTAGGAGGAAAACCAAACATCATTTGCAAGCTACTTCGTGTTCACATAGATGACAATCTGAACTTTACTAAACATGTTACATCGTTATGTAAGAAAACAAGCAAACAAATAGCGATCATAAGCAGGTTTAAGAACCTGTTGAGTACTAAAACAAAACGTTTCTTGTACAAAGCCTATATTCTACCTCATTTGCCTATTGCTCTACTGTATGGATGCATTGTGGCAAAACAGCAGCTGGCGAACTCGAAAAGCTAAACGAGCGTGCTATGAGATGTATTTTTAATGACAACATTAGCACCTATGAGGAATTTCTTGTAAAGGCAAATATGCCAAGTCTGCAAAATAGAAGGATTCAAGACATGTGTATACTTATATATAAAGTTATCTCTGGTACTACACCAACACCTCTTAGTAGTCTCCTGTCACTAAGAAGTAATGAATGTAATCTGCGTGGGCAGAGAGCAAACACGTCCAAATATCCATACTTTTAGGTACTACGGTCTGAAGATGTGGAACTCCCTGCAAGATGAACTAAGAACTGCTCCTACCATTAGAAATGTTGTTTCTCAAATTAGGAAAATAACGTTCGACCCCTGACCTGTAATTGTTTTTTATGCTGTACATAGAATTTTCGATCTTCTTGTTTTCATATCGATATGTATAATTAATTAGTTGTATATCATATAATTAATCTTACTTTTTGTTCTCAATTTCCTGATACATAATATTTTTAGCCAATTTGTTGACTCAAACTTATATTTCATAGTTAATTTACATGTATTACTTGTTAAGAAGTCTCTCCGAAAATGCGGATATCCTGACTTGGTATTCAGCGGAAACCAAAAAGATCACGATGAACGGGGGTGTGGCACTGACGACATCAAAGAGGGGACACAAGGCCTGGGTAACCATCCCTTACATACGAGGCCTACCTGAGAATATTAAGAACATTCTCAAAGAGCACGGTGTAACAGCGTTTTACAAACCCCAGAACACTCTAAGACAACAGTTGGTCAAGGTTAAAGACAAACAGCAATTAGAGAAGCGCTCCAACCTGGTATATGGTATTACCTGTGAAGGAGAGGGTTGCAACGAAACCTATGTGGGAGAGACTCTTCAGTCAATCAGAGCCAGGCTAAAACAACATCAACGGCCGAACTCCAATCCTGCTCAACATTCAGCAGTTTATTGTCACCTGAAGGACACGGGACACGTGTTAGATTCGAAGGGGGTCAAGATCCCAGATAAAGAACGAGATTGGCGAAGGAGGGGGATGAAAAAAGCGATATGGGAAAGAGTGGAGGACCCTACGGTCAAAGAGTTTTACTGATAATCTTTTTGATCTATTAATGGATTGATTGATTGATCAACCGATTGACTCATTGACTGATTTGAATCCTTGTCCAAAACTGTGTCCCATTGAGTAGATCTGTTTCTAATTAAGGGATTCGTCTATTAGGAAAATGATTTACAACTCACATACTCGATGATATTGATAAAGTACATAAGAACGAGTGGAGAGCAGCATATTAATTTTGATTGTAATATTTTAATACTATATTTTTCCTTTTCAAGCGTGTCCGCAAGGTTGGTATTCTTTTCAAAGCTCGTGCTATCGCCTCACCACAGATGTAAAGAAGTGGAGTAGCGCAGTATTGAAATGTCTCAGCAGTGATGCACAGTTGGTGAAAATTGATTCTTGTGAAGAAAATAAATTTATCAAGGCGACATTTCTTGCTGACGAACTGCATCACTGGATTGGATTAACGGATTGGATTAACGGATGGAGAGACTGAGGGAGAATGGAAGTGGTCTGATGGAAGTTTACTCATGGAATTTGAAGGGTGGATAGATGACCAGCCAAGTGATACAGTCCACTTGCAGAACTGCGCTGGAATAAGAAAGAGAAAGAAGAGATCAAATTATGAAATAGGATGGCACGACAAATAGTGCGATCGACTTAAAGGGTACATCTGCGAAGTCGTTTTTTATCAGTGCACATTTTTGATATACGTGTACTGATCTGGTTGCCGTCAATAATTTTAATTTTGTATTGAGTACAAACCTATTTCATGGTTTTTAATAATTATCAATGAAACTTAAAATGTGGATGACATACAAGTTTAAAAATAACCATAGAAGAATGTATATATTCTGGTACATAAAGAACTCATATCTTAGCATTACTCAAATAATCTTTGCAATTTTCCTAAAACAAAAATACCTCCCCTTGTATTTTAATTAACTTTTTAGGGCATGAGACAAGCTAGTGATCTACAGCAAGCCAAGTAGAATAATGATTTTTAAAAAAGTCAGTCTGGTGGGTATTTGGTGCTTTTTAAGCCTGATGAGGTTCTCACATTACCATGCCATTGAAACTATGCATTGAGCACAGCACAAAGTACTAGAACAATACCAACAATAATGCACATGCACAGTGAAAATAAAAAAATCATGAGAACCAAACAAGGCTTTAAGAAAAAAAAAATACTCACCAGACTGATTTTTTTTAATGATCTTATTACCTTCTTGTAGACAACTAGTTTGTCCCATCCCCCCAAAAATGAAAAAAATAATCCCTTTGCTATTTTTTTTTTCACATACCAAAGTCTTGGCCAATGTGCTATTATGTTTATTTGAAATATTGGTTTCTTTCAGTTAAAGTGGCATGCTTGAAGACTAGAAAGGGTAGGTACTAGTGCATTGACCACTATAACCATTGAACATTTCTTTATGTCCAATTGTAACACAGTTTGGGGTTACAGAAATTCATTACTGGTTTCATAGGTATTTTTATGTAGCAAAATAAGTCATTTGAAATCTCCCTTGCTTAAAATTTTTGTGACAATAAGAAGAAAATGAGTTAATGTCTTAATTATTCCCACTTTCTAAAGGTTGAAATTGGCCAACATCAAACCTACAATCCTTGATTGATCGAAGAAATGTGACCTTCATTAAGATTAGGTCAAATCAGTTCAGTAAGTAAGAGTATGTGATTCCACTAATTGAGGAACAAAATGGAACATACAACTTTACACCAATGCCAGAATTCTTCAAAGCAGTCTCTGTTAAGCTCTACTAGAAATTGCGTGGGCTGCAATTAAAATTCCAATGTGGTGATTTGATGGAGCTAATTGCTAGCCTTCTTAAAACTCTTTCATAACCCTTTCAAGGAACCTATTACAAGAGTTGCATTTGTAATTCTTCTTTAACTAATGCAAAATCTATAATGTCACAATCTTAAACCTTCCCGTTCAAATGAAAATAATGGACAAATCAAAAGGGCATTATTCACCAAATCTTCCTTCATACACCATCTTGTAAATTGCTTTGTTTTGAAAGGTGACACTCAAATCACAACATGAATTCTCATTGGTTGAAATGCCAGTCGTGGCTGTTCTGATACATTGGAATGATCCAAACTGATCAAAGAAGTTTATACTGATATTGCCTGCAAAAATTAAAGGCAAGCTGAAAATTAATCTTCACAGTCAGGTAAACTGCAGTTATGGTCAGGGACGATAAAGAAGTGTAAAATCAGTTCAGTCTACTACAGGGAAGCCTGAAATCTTCAAGACCACTCATGCTAACTGCAATAGCTCCAAAATCAGATAAATTTGTGTCTAGTTACAGGGTAACTAATCTGAGACCAAAATGCTGACATCTTTCAAATTTTCAGGTGCATTTAGAAGTTGCACTGCTGTTACATACATGTGTAACATATATTACTTTTATCTGGACAATCAGACTATGCAAATGGATCGTTAACACTGTTGTTTACCATGTTTTTTCCAGCAGGCGTACATTAATATTAATTAAGAGATAAAAGACCTGACCCAGGCTTCATATACACAGGCATAGCTCACAAATGTTATTTATCATCAAATCTTAGACACCAGAAATGAGTTAAAGCTCTTGAAAAAAAAAAAAAAAGTTTAACCTTTAAAAGGTTCCTAGTGAAGGAATCAAAGGTTCTGTCCTTTCTGCCTTAGGGGGGGAGAGAGGGTGACAAAAATGGTTTTGTTTCTTCACCCTCCTTGATCCCTCAATAAAAAGAAACGCATAGCGTTTCTACTCTTAAAATGTATGTCTATGACCAAGCATCTTTATAGAATGGAAATTCCATGGACAATTGTTTATCAGTGGTCTGAATAGGATGTAACGAGTAAATAAATAATTCTGTACAACCTACATCTGGCGTTAAATCAACTAGGAGCACTCCTCCTGTTAATAAACTCGTCCGTGTAAACCCAGCTGGCCAGTCCATACCCAAGCACTGCTTGAAATAATCCAAGTCCAATGATGAACGCCTTCGATCGGCCGTAATATGGAGAATAACAGAAGTCAAGAAAAGAAGTAAAGAACGGCTGAGGTGTACCTGTCCTTCCCCCAAAGTGTAACGATGCTATTAAAACTGATGGTACCACGCAGCCACTGAGACCCAAAGTCAGTGATCCCCTGATAGCTGCACATGAAACACATTCCATTTTACGTCTTTTTATAGGATCAGACACAACATATTGCCATGAGAAACAAGCGATACTCCCACACAGTGCTGGGGCGATAAATATGGCAGCTCGCGAACGTGGGACCTTCAAAACGCCTGGAGTGGAACGATAAAAACTTGGAATTATCGCCGTAAATCCAACAGCTGACATTCCAGCTATAGCTGAGTAACGATCTAAGGAGTGATGTCCATAATCTCCTCTTCCAAACCACATGATTTTCGATTAATACTTTTGTTCGTGAGCAAACGAGTCTTACATTAAATAACCAGGCGTTTCTAAGACAAGGCCAGGTTACAAATATATACGTTCCCAGTCTCCATTCCACATATTGCTGCAAGTTGCTTGTTTTACTGTATCATAGAATTGTGATCCAAATGATAGCCAAGTAAATTTATTCAAGAGGTGTAACTGATCACAATCAAGTTTCTGTCGTTAGCTACCTGTTAAATGCTGTGTAACCACTCACTCCAACAGACTGGTGAAGGCTGAGCGATTCAGTTGAAACACTAATTTCTCCCACACATAAATTATTTTCGTCTGCAGCACAATCAGACTCAGTAGCAGTGCAACCGAATTGTTACAACGTATTGCCTCTACCATATGTGGTCCTCCAGGTTCACATCCATATTGAGAGATTAAGGAGACTTGATCTTGGCTATTTGTCAGCACATCTCAAACAACACTAATGAATCAGTTGAGCTCTTGTAAAAAAAATTATTTTCGGCCTTTGAAAACAAGGGTTTCTAGTAAAAGAATCAATGCTTCTGTCTTTTCTTAAGGGTGAAGGGAGGGTGTTAAGGAAAATTTGGGTTTAACCAGGATTTAAGCACAAGCAGTAAACCAACTTATATAAAATATCTTGCATATTACATCGTCACCAATCGTTGTGCACCTTCTGTCTTACAAAAGAACATACAAGCGGGAGGGGAGGGGGAGAATACTTGTGGAACTAGGCATTTTCAAATACTATATCGACATGATTAAAGTGATTTTGATATTTACACAAGAACCCATATGACATTTATAGAAGCGCGTTATGTCAAGAATAAAAAAGCCATCTCATAAACCAACCAGTTTCAAGCAAGCAATCACGTTTTCTCTTGGGTATAGTTGATTCATACAGTAGTAAGAAAAAAAAAAACGCCATTTAATAAACCAATTGAATTCAATCAACTTAAAACGATTTCTCGAGGGTAAGTTTCATTGATCGCGGACACAACTTCTAAGTGGTTTTGAACAATCAATCCAAAAGTGCACCTGTGAGGATGTTTCTGTTTCTCACCAAGATGTTTTGGTAGATGTATTTTCCCTTTGGAACAAAATCGCTGCTGGAGACTTGCAGGTGGGTGCGATTACTGAGCTCACTTGTCGGTGTATCACTCTGTAATGGACCATAGTTGTATGACACACAGTTGGGTTCTTGGAAGCAGTTTGACTGACACTGTGACAGACTTTGAACACTGATATTTCTTATCACGTGGTTTTTAAGAATCTTATTCACGGCTACAGGCTTGAATTGCATGATTCGGCAATTGTTGAGAGCTAATGAAGAATGCATCAGAAAGAACTGTTTGTTAATACAATAACTCTTACCTCGGCGAGACTCCCTGAACTGTACCCCACCAGGTGCAATCATCACTAAATCAATCCTATCTATAGTAATTTTTGGAGATGTAGAAGTCTCTTTAAATTTCCTAGATGGATTGATAAGTAATATATGTAACAAAAACTAAAGAAACCCAAACAAAATTTATCGTAATTAAGGTGCTAAACATAACTCTTTCTGTGATTACCCGTGATTAGTCTGTAGATTCAAATAGGGTTGAGTTACTTTAGGGTTCGTTTAATGAGTTCAACCGGCAAGCAGATTAGACAGCCTTTGATTAAACTGGAAAACACCGTGCAGACTTTATTTGATTGTTTATTTTGCAAGACGATTTGAACCCTGTTCAAGCAGCTTTTAGGTGCCCTCTCTGGGATGAAACAAGCAACTTAATTACTCACCACCTACGCACAGCAAGTGCATGGGATCAATGTGCCCTAA